GAGCTCCTGTGTGCCTGGGCCCCTCGGTCCCGGTCGGCAAGGTGGGCAGCACGAGAGGCCACAGGAGTGGCTTGCCCAGGAGCCCTGAGTGTGCACCTGCCCCACCCTCCCATCACAGGCTCTGGTTGGCCCCAGCGGCTGGTTCTCCCCCACTGGCTGCTGATGGCTGGGCTGGCTCGGCGCCTCCTCCCGGCTCCCAGCCCTGGCTGGGGCCATAGCACCTGCCCCCGAGCCTGGAGCTGCTGAGGAGGTGGGAGAGGAGGGGCAGAGCTGAGACAGCCGGTGAGGCCTGTGTGTCGGTGGCACCAGGGCTTTAACCCTGCCCCCTTGTTTTCTCAGTTCCTGGGGAGCTGTTTGTTTGGCCGACTCCGTCTCCGTATCTCCGGGTGGACAGGCTCTGTTGTGGGCCTCTTGGGGCCTGGGTGTGTGGGGGGCTCCATCTGTTTGCCTCCTAGCCTGGCTGTCCGCTCTCTGTCTGCACTGTTAGACGGGGCTCTCTCCCTGCTGGAGCTAGCTCCAGTGTTTGCTCCTAGTCTACCTGCCCCCACTCTGGCTGAGTCCTAGACTCAGCGCGTCTCAAGGAACCAGGCAGGGGGCATAGGAGACACCCAAGTATTTCGTGAGCTGAGCTTAGGAGGCTCTGGCCAGATTCAGAGGGATGGATGATGAGCGGTCTTTCCCAGGGGGCTTTCTTACTTGGAGGCCGGGGTGGTACCCCCACTCTGGCTGAGTCCTAGACTCAGCGCGTCTCAAGGAACCAGGCAGGGGGCATAGGAGACACCCAAGTATTTCGTGAGCTGAGCTTAGGAGGCTCTGGCCAGATTCAGAGGGATATTGATGAGCAGTCTTTCCCAGGGGGCTTTCTTACTTGGAGGGGTGGTAGCAGCATTTTTGTCTGTTCTAACAGAACTAGTCGAGGGGGCCGAGGCTTTGAAATCCTTTTGTAGGTCCTTGGCCTGGCCTGGCCCTGGAGCTGCTGCTTCCTGTGGTGGATGAGGAGGGAGGCGAGAAGGATCTGGGTTCGCTGTGAGCCGGGGGCTCCTGGGACACTCAGGAGAGGGAGAGGCTGGGCAGAAAGTCGAGGCATTGTCTGTCCCACCATTTCTGTACTACCTCAGACTGGGCCTGGAATAAGGGGCTGGGAGCTCTGAAGCAGGGGCAGGCTTGGGTGGTTCTCAACTCAGGCCCGTTTCCCATCCCTCTGCCTCAGGGACGCTGATGGGAGGTCTGAGGGCGGTGGGAAGTAGGCCGTTCACGCTCAGGTGCTGGGCCCTTTTCTTCATTTCTCCCAAGTCTGCCTCTGGCACTGCCAGCTGGTTGGCCCGGCCCAGCCATTGCTGGGGATACTCTGGCCTGTCCCTGGTCGGGGGAGAGGGTGTGGTTAGAGCAGGCCACTGAGCAAGCTGGCCTCAGTCGGCCCCGTGAACCTCTAAAGAGGATTTACAGGCAGTGAGATGTGGCCATGGCCACTGGGAAGTTCCGTGTGGGCCTGTCGGGGATTACACAGCTTCCGAGGGAGCTCGGGTGCAGTCGCAGGGGCCCTGGCTCACACCTCTGTGCTGACTCCCCTTCCCCCAGCAGCAGGGGGCTCTTGCCTCGGCCACACCTGTAACCCAGTGAGGTGGGCTTGGTGTCGCTCTCTTCGTAGAAGGGGTCCAAAGAAGGCCTCTGTGTGGAACTGGGCTGTGTTGGCAGTAGGAGGGCTGGAAGCAGTGACCCCTGCCGGGCCTGGCTCAGGACACAAGTCTGTTCTCTGAACTCTGAGTCTGTCTCGGTGTGAGTCTCGCCCTGGTTAATGAGCACCTCTGAATGCTGTGGGGAGTGAAGCCCGGGGACTGGTTCTGGGCTGCTGAGGGGCTGTCATGGAGGGAGCTGCCAGGGAGCCCCTGGTTGGGGGGTGGGACAGAGCAGCCTGGCCTCCCCTTAGGCTCCCATGGAAGGCGGTGTGTGCATGGCACAGCCGTTCCACTCCTCAGAGTGGCCCTGCTATTTTCGGATGGGCCCGCCCCCTCTCTGGGTGTCGTCCTCTCCTCCTCCCCACCCTGACGGCAGGGTGCTAATCACAGGGTGGCTGCGGCTGGAGGCCTTGTAGACAGGAAGGCTGGACTGTGGCGCTCAGCCCCACCTCACCTCCCTGGGACTGCTGTGCTTACGGGTTCGACTTTTGGTACTGGGACAGGCTGCTTCGGAGGTCACACCACACCAGGCTGGGCCACGTCACCTCTCAAAGCAGTGGGTCCAGGTGCTCAGACCCGCTGCCTACTCCATCCTGCATCCTCCCCCATCCTTTCTGGTCTGGCTGCATTTTGGGGGAGTCTTACTCTTCTGGCCCTGGAACAGGTGAAGTAGCGGTGGGTATGAGGCTTGGTGCCACGTGAGTCCCTTACATGGTACGAGGCTGTCTCCACTCCTGCCTGAGCCCAGATGCTGCTGCCTGGTCAGGGGTGAGCAGTTCCAGCAACAGCTGCAGGGCCTGGCAGCCTGCCAAGACCTCGAGCCTTTAAAGTGTCCATGGAGAGTCCAGGCCCCCACTTAGGCTGCGTCGGCAGAGGTTTTGGTCGGAGGTCAGAGTGAGGGGCTGCTGCTCCCACATCCAGCCATGTGGGAGGACCCAGTTCCCGTCTGTGCCCCCGTCTTAAAACGAGAGTGCCACGACCCAAGGAGATGGGTGGGGGTGGCAAGGGTGAGGGTCCCACAGCCCTGCCAGTGGTACTAAGGCCTCTGCTGCTGCCTTGGGCCCTGCTCTCCCAAGGCCCCTGGATCCCAGCTGTACAGTGAAAGCAGGAGGCAAAGAGGCCGGGGCAGAGGGGCCCAGGTGGTTTTGTGAGAAGCTTTGCAGACTGAACAACTGGGTTTGAATCCTGGGTTTGCTGCGATCTTTCTGGTAACTGTAGGCAAGTTGCATCGCTTGTTAGAACCCGTTTCCTTATTTGTAAACTGCAAGAAGTGCAGCCCAGCCTGCTGGGGAGCTTAGGGAGGAAGGGCTGAGTGCAGACAGCCAGGCCCGCTGGGAGTGGCGGGTCATGAGGGGCTGGCCGGGGGGCAGTGGTTAGTGGCAGACCTGTGGTCCCTAGACTTTAGCAGACCATTACTCAGTAGATACCCAGGTAAGAGCGTGGCATGAGGATGGTCCCCCCAGGGAGACCCGCCACACCTGCCATTCACTCTGTCGTTTATGTCGGGCAGGGCTGAGAACTACTGGTGGCGCGGGCAGAACACACGGACGCTGTGTGTGGGGCCTTTCCCTCGCAACGTGGTGACCTCAGTGGCTGGCCTGTCGGCCCAAGACCTCAGCCAGCCTCTGCAGAACAGCTTCATCCACACGGGGCATGGCGACAGTGACCCCCGCCACTGCTGGGGCTTCCCTGACAGGATTGACGAGTGAGTACCTGGGCAGGGCCGCTGCCCTCGCCATGCCACGCGCAGGCTCTTGAGCGCCCTTCACCCTTCCGTGTCCAACCCCGACTCAGCCAGCCTTCCCTCCTGATCCCCTGCCTCGCTCTTGGAAGCCGTGGCACCCCACAAAGCCGGAGCTCGAGAGTCAGGACTTCTGATCAGAAGCTCGGTCTTCTGTTGGAGTTTGTGGACAAGTACTTGCACTCCCGAGGTGTCCTTGGTCTGTCACGGGGCACCTGCAACAGGCGGAGCTAGTTGTGCTCCCACCAGTGAGATGAGGGCTGCGGACGCACTCTGGTCAGAAGCTGCCGCTGGAATCAGGCCCTGACAGAAGCTTCCCAAGGCCAGCGTCGCCACGCATAAGCCCCCGACCCTGGCTTTCTCTCTAGTGAAAAGCCATCGGGTGATACGAGACCCTCCACCCCATGCTGTGGCGGGGGATGTGCATGGGGGAAAGAGGGTGCCGTCAGCCCCGCGAGGACAGCACAGATGCCTCTCCCAGCCCCACCCCTGCACTGATCGCCAGTGCCTGGCTCAAAGCCCCTCTCTGGCGCCTGTACCCCACCCCATTTTGCCTCCACACCCTGTTCTCATGTGCAAGCGTCAGCAGCGAGGGGGTAAGAGGAATGAGCAGTGCAGGTAGGGCCGGGGGAGCACAGCCAGGCTGGGCACCTGGACAGGGCTGGTGGGGGACCCGGAACCCCCGGTGCTCAGTCATGTCAGACGCCTGCACACGTTCCAGAGCGGAGTTGTCCACTCAGTGTGTGAGGCCACTGTGCCCCTCTGCAGAGCCCTCGCACCCACTGGTGCCAAGGCCAGGAGAGCACCAAGGGGCAGAGAGTTGAAGTGAGGTGGGCAGAGAAATGCAACAGCATGAAAAGGGGAACGCTCAGGCTGCTCCTTGTGTGGGGCCGCTGTGTGGGAAGAAGGGCCCCAAGGGACCGAGTGTAAACCCCGTGGCATGGGGGCACTGCCCTCTCTGAGCTGCTGTGCTCAGCAGCATCCTGGCAATGCAAGGATCACGTGTGAGGACAGTGAGGGTGGCATCCATGTTGGCCGGGTCAGAAGGCCATTCATGCGTGTGCGGGCTCCCAGGTGGCAGTGACATGATGCAGGCGCCTGCGAGCTCGTGCTCCTTGGCCCCTGGCACAGTGTGAGGCACAGGGTCTCGTTGCCCCACACCGTGGCTCCTCCATGGGCAGAGCTGGGTTCAGAGGCATCCGATGATGTACCCACACCTACATCGTGGCAGGGCCACAGCCTGAAGCCCTTGGCACACGGGCCTTGGGAACAGCCCTCGGGAAACTGTGCGGTAGGAACACTTCCTTGGGACCCCTGGGGCAGTGAGCTGGGGTGGGCTAGAGGGATGAGCTGGCTGGGTCAGGCCCAGATAGGAGCGAGCCCGCTTCCCAGAGCTGAGGAGCAGCACCGATGAGGTCATCGGGGCATCTGGGGAGGACACAAAGAATTAGTCACTTCCTGGATGCCCTGCCCAGGGGGCGCCTGGCAACAGCTCACGCCAGGCCTCCATGCCTCTGCTGGCTGCAAGGGAGGCCGGGTCCTGATCCTTGCAGCCCTTCTCCCGCAGACTTCTCGTGAGACGTGTGTCTGCCTCAAGAGGCGCAAAGTGGGTGTTTAACCCTGTCTCCACACGCCAGAACGCTAGGGGTTGGTCTTTGGCTCTCAACCCACAAAAGTCTAATGAGGACCCGAGAGCATCGGAGCCAGAGAGCGCAGACACGGCCAGGAGGAGGCCGGTGCCCTCTGCCCCACTCCTGGCACACTAGCCAGCCCAGCCCCATTCCTCTGGGCTTTCATCAGCCCTGGTGACTAAGTCCCGGACATTGGAGCCTGTGCCGTGGTTGTGGGTGAGCTGAGAGCGGGACAGGTGGCCCACCCTGAGCAGGGAGACCGAAGCCCGGCTGCCTCTTCCCAGGCCTGTGGGCTGGCAGGTGGCTGCCGGGTGTGGGTCGTGGCAGTGCAGAGGGTGTAAAGGACCCTTGCAGGACCGTGTCGGGGCCTGGAGGTGCTAGACCTTTTTACCTGGGGGTGAGGTCCTTTCTCTGCCCTTTTCTGCATTATACGCTTCTCTGTTTATAGGTAGATCCCTGCGGGTCAGGGGTTGGGGGTGCAGGCCTCTGTGCACCAGACCTGCACACGACTGGCCTCTGTAAGGGGCTTTGACTAGACAGTCCTCTGGGCACAGGCAGGATCCCATTTCCTGAGGGTCCCAGGTTAGATGTCCTTGCCGCCGCCACCTGCTCCCTCCCCACCCCTGACCTGGCTTTCTCCCACAGACTGTATCTGGGAAACCCCATGGACCCTCCTGACCTTCTAAGTGTGGAGCTGAGCACCTCCCGGCCCACCCCGCACCTAGGAAGGGTGAAACGTAAGTGCCCCCCACTGCTTGGCATCCCTAGTCACTGGCTACCAGAAAGGACACTGTCTTCACAAGCCACCCTGGGTGTTCTGACTCGGAGACAGTTGTGTCAGGGCAGCAGGCGGGACAGCTGTGCCACTGTCTCCGGCCGAGCGTGGGGTGGAAGACGAGAGGCAGCTGTATCCGCCGAGGTGGGCCTCCTCGGGTTGGTCCTGCCCCGGCCCTGCCTGCCTCGGCTTCCCTCCTCCCTGCCCCTCCTCGCTCACGGCTGTGCTCAGATCCTGGCTTTCCTCACTTCCTCCTAATCCTGCTCTTCTCTCCTGAGCCAAAACCACCCCACGGGCCATGTCCGCCAGGAGCCCGCCTCATCCATCTCCCAGATCCTGTGCCTGTCATTCCGGAACAGTCTTCCCATCCTGCCGCCCCATTGCCTCGCCTTTGCTGTGGGGTTGGTACATTCACTCACCCCTGTTCACTTCTCTCTCCCTCTCTCCCCGCAAACTCCGCTTCTTACCCGGCTCCTCTCCCCTCCCTCGTCTGTCCTGCACTGTCCCTCCTCTCCTCTCGCATGGCCTTTCTTGCAGGGGAGCCTCCACCTCGCCCACCTCAGCCTGCCATCTTCACTCAGAGTAAGTGGGGCTGCTTTGGAGGCCTCGGCCCCCGCCCCCGCCCCCTCTCTTCTCTCACTTCTCCTCTCCTGGAAGGTACAGAGTCTGGTGGCCAGGGGCGGGAGGGGACGCGGGCATGTGCTGCGAGCTTTTGCTGCTGACCCAGCCCAGCGGGCCGCCCCTCACTGCATGCCCTGCAGCCTGGGCAGTGGAGCAGGTGCTGGTCTTGGCACCACCTGGACCTCAGCCATGCCCGGCCCAGCCTGCTCCCGCTCAGGCCTGCAGAGGCTGTGTGTGGGCTTCATGGCGGTGGTTCACGAGCTGTCTTCTCTGAGGAGGGCTCCTTTGCCCCACGGCCCCTGCCTGCACTAACGGTATGCCGCAGTGCGGGTGGGGACTAGGGGACTAACCAGGGCCTAGAGCTGGGGCATCGGGGTGTGGTGCTGGTAAAGAGCAACAGTGACAGGCAGGAGCGGGAAGTCACTGGCTGTCCTAGGTGGGGCTCCCAGCCCTCCAAGGACTGATGGCGCAGAGTGGGTTCTGTGCCCCCCACACCGGGGCCGGGTGTGTGAGAAGGTTGGCGGCTGAGAGCCGCCTCTGGAGGAGTCGGGGGTGGTGGTGGTATTGGCTTTCCTTCCCGCAACCCCTCCCCTTGCCCCTGCCTGATACCACCTCTGCTGGGGTCTCCCTTTTCCATCATAGAACCAACCTACGACCCTGTGAGCGAGGACCAAGACCCGCTGTCCAGCGACTTCAAGAGACTGGGCCTGCGGAAGCCAGGCCTGCCCCGAGGGCTGTGGCTAGCGAAGCCCTCAGCCCGGGTGCTGGGCACCAAGGCCCGTGGCGGGGGCGAGGTCACGCTCATCGACTTCGGGGAGGAGCCTGTGGTCCCCGCCCCTCGGCCCAGCGCACCCTCCCTGGCCCAGCTGGCCATGGACGCCTGTTCATTGCTGGACAAGACCCCGCCCCAGAGCCCTACTCGGGCCCTGCCCCGGCCCTTGCACCCCACGCCTGTGGTGGACTGGGACGCTCGCCCGCTGCCCCCGCCTCCTGCCTATGATGACGTAGCTCAGGATGAGGAGGACTTCGAGGTCTGCTCCATCAATAGCACCCTGGTGGGCTCAGAGGTCTCTGCAGGGCCCAGCCAGGGCGAGACCAATTACGCCTTCGTGCCTGAGCAGGTGCGGCGCCCCCTGCCCCTGGAGGACAACCTGTTCCTCCCGCCCCAGGGTGGCAGTAAGCCACCCAGCTCCACCCAGACCGCAGAGATCTTCCAGGCGCTGCAGCAGGAGTGCATGCGGCAGCTGCAGGTGCCGGCTGGCTGTCTGGCCCACTCTCCCAGCCCAGTGGGCGACGACAAGCCCCAGGTGCCACCTCGGGTACCCATTCCCCCTCGGCCCACACGCCCACGTGTCGAGCTGTCTCCAGCCCCCTCAGGAGAGGAGGAGACAAGTCGGTGGCCTGGACCTGCCTCCCCTCCCCGGGTGCCTCCAAGGGAGCCCCTGTCCCCTCAAGGCTCGAGGACCCCCAGCCCCCTGGTGCCACCCAGCAGCTCCCCGCTGCCACCTCGGCTCTCAAGCTCACCTGGGAAGACCATGCCTACCACCCAGAGCTTCGCCTCTGACCCCAAGTACGCCACGCCCCAGGTGATCCAGGCACCTGGCCCACGGGCCGGTCCCTGCATCCTGCCCATCGTCCGCGACGGCAAGAAGGTCAGCAGCACCCACTACTATCTGCTGCCGGCCCCCCCACCCTACCTGGAGCGCTACCAGCGCTTCCTGCGCGAGGCCCAGAACCCCGAGGAGACGGCGCCCCTGCCTGCACCCCTGCTGTTGCCCCCACCCAGCACCCCAGCCCCAGCCGCCCCCACTGCTACTGTTCGACCCATGCCCCAGGCTGCCCCAGACCCCAAGGCCAACTTCTCCACCAACAACAGCAACCCAGGGGCCCGGCCCCCTGCCCTGAGGGCCTCTGCTCGGGCACCACAGAGAGGCTGCCCTGGGGATGGGCCGGAGGCTGGACGGCCAGTAGACAAGATCCAGATGGTGAGTGCCAGGCCCAGCCTCGGGCAAGCTGGGGCAGGCCCAGCCAGCAGGCCGAATGGTGCTGATGGGTGGCTGGGTGTGCCCAGCTGCAGGCCATGGTGCATGGAGTGACCACAGAGGAGTGCCAGGCTGCCCTGCAGAGCCACGGCTGGAGCGTGCAGAGGGCTGCCCAGTATCTCAAGGTACCCACCTCCTGCCCATTCTGGTTTTCAGGGACCACCCCCCCCAACCTGCCCTGGTGGTTCTGCTCCCAGCCTGCACTCTCAGCTCCCAGCTCTGACTCTTGTCTACCTCTGCCCTGGACTGGGACCCCTTGGCCCCTGTGTCCCCTGACACTGTGCTCTGCCCCTCAGGTGGAACAGCTCTTCGGGCTGGGTCTGCGGCCACGGGGGGAGTGCCACAAAGTGCTGGAGATGTTCGACTGGGACCTGGAGCAGGCCGGCTGCCACCTGCTGGGCTCGTGTGGCTCCGCCCACCACAAGTGAGGGACTTGCACTCTGCCCCGCCTCTGCCCCCGGGAGGGTGTCCACTGGGCACTCCCGTGGTGGAAGGGAGGGCACAGGCCTAGGAAGCTGGCATTTGGGTTGAGAGCACTTTGTGCATTCCTTTAGACTCTCCCACTGCTTGGTTTTCAAGGAGCTAACGAGTAGAAAGGGGATGGGGCCTCGGGGTGCTGCTCCCTCGGTCTGACCCCAGCAGCCTAGAGGGGCTCCAGGCAGCAGTGCTGCAGACCAGCGTCTAGAACCAGGTTTCTCACCTCTTCTGGTCCTTTCTATTTAAAGTCATGTTTCAATTTTAATACCTTCATACATACCTATTTATTTAATTCTTGCCATAGGGCACGTGCTCTCATGGGAGGGAGGGGAGAGGAAGAGACAGGAAGTGAGAAATCACTCCCCGGGGGATGGCCACACTGCAGTCCCTTCTCGGTTCTCAGGATTTGGGGCACATGTGCCCAGCACGTATTCACGCTGCCAAGTCCAAGACTTGAACCAGTCAGTCAGCCAGCCATGTGGGCTCTAGCTGCCTTCACCACCACACTGCCTGCGTTCCATTTGAGGGACCAGCAGATGGCATGATGGTTATGTTGTTGGACTCCCATAGTTAACCACAGTTCAACCCAGTGGCTTAAAACTCACGCCAGGCCTGTGTGCATGTGTGGCCAAAATCCCGAGAGGAGAATGGAGGAGAAGGGATTGCAGCGTGGCCATCCCCCCTGGGGGGTGATTTCTCATTTTCTGACTCTTCATCTCTTCAGCAAGCGCACACGCCCTATAGCAAAAATCTATCCTCCACACTGCATTTTCCATGCTCTTTAGCGGGAGAACCGTCCATGGAGGGACTTTTTGGTTGTTTCCCATCCTTTAGGCGCTGAAGTGCTTCAGGAGAGCCGGAGGGTCTGCTCTGAAGGAATCACTTGAGCCTGTCCGTCTGACAAGGGCGGGGAGACGCCCCACCCAGACCTGGAGGACCTGCTGCTCCCAGTGGACGGAGCGAGGCCAGGGCAGCAGGAGGCTAGGAGCCTCGCCTTGCCCGTCCCTCCCTCACCCAGCACGGTCCCTGCACACTTCGGTTCAAGCCTCGACTCCAGCCAGGATGTGAGGAAGAGCCTGTGAAGGCAGGCCCCGTGTACGACCTGCCTCTGGCTTCCGTCCAGGGCTGGGGTGGTGCCCCCAGCTGCCCAGAAGGACCGGACTGAGAGGAAGCCAGGCTTGACCTGGGCAAGGAGGACGTGTTGGCCACATAGAAGATGGACCCGTGCCCAGTGGGCCCCCATGGGCTGGGCCCCTCTCCAGGGAGAGAAAGACAGTTGGGGTGTCAGGCAGAGTGACTTGCAGCCTCGCCGTAGACATGTTACAGGGCTTGGCTGGTCTTAGGGTTCTGTGCCTGAAAATAGCCCGAGGTGGCTCGGGAAAGGGTGAAAGGGTGCCAGGCCATTCTCTGGCAGGGACCAGGGCCCAGGGCCCCAGGGTTGGAAGGCGACCAAGGGGCAGCTGCTCTGGAGGGACACCAGTGCTTCCTCCTGACCCCAACTCTTCCCCTGTGCTGTTCTGTGTTTCCCCACCATCTCTGTTGCCAAAGTCGCCGGCCCAGCCATCCATACCTGCTTCTTCCAGAGAAATAAAAGTTAGTTTCTATTTTATGTTACTTACTTGTCTCTGCCTGTTTCTTTACCTCTAGGTTAGCAGCTTAAGGCCCCAGGGCATCCCAGGCCACTTCCATCTGTTCTAGGCAGCCGGCCGTGTAGCACCACCTGTAGGCAGAGGGAGGAAGTGCAGGCCTGGGAGCCCTCAAGGAGTCTCTTGCAGGACTGGCAGAGGGCCACAGTCTCCACCTGATCTAGCCATCGACTCTTGTGGCCCCTGTGTTTGTGATCCGTGGATCTCTGTAAGGCAGGATCTCCTGCAGGACTTAAATGTCTACGCAAAAATGCATCATGACTTTCCTGACAACCCAGTATTTACATGGTTCAGAATTGAGAGTACTAGAGGGTGTCCAGCAAAGTGTCTGTTGCACCCAGCTGCCCACTCCCTAGCCCCCAGAGACCCCCGTTGTCATCAGTTTCTTGAGTTTTTTTTTTTTTTTTTTTGAGAGATTTTCACTATAGGGCGCGTGCGCTCGCCAGACAGACATAGAGACAGAAAGCGAGAAATCACCCCCCAGGGGGGATGGTCATGCCGCAATCCCTTCTCCATTCTCCTCTCGGGATCTTGGGCACGCACGCACACGTGCCCTACATGAGTTTTAAGCTACAGGGTCCAGGACACGAACCGCGGTTGACTACGTGGGAGTCCAGCGACATGGCCATTACGCTAACTGCTGGTTCCCCAGACGTGGCCTTCTAAACTGCGGCTGTTAGAAATTCTGTTTCCTCAGGTTCCTGCCTGATTCTTCCCCTTAGTAGCCCACATTATTCACTGAGCACACTCTGCATACAATTTTGTTCCACTTCTCCATTATCTTTTTTTTTTTTTTAATTTAGGGAATAGTTTGTTCTTTTGCTGCAATCATCCTATTTATAGACTATGAATGTTTTGACTTCAAACACAGACATTTTTAAATGCCTTTTAGAAACAGGCATGTTTTTGGATAAATGATGGCAGATTTTTATACTTTATCAGCTTTTAAGAATTCATTATAGGAGGCCAACTGATAGTGTGGTTGGGGCATTGGACTCCCACAGGGCTGACCGTGGTTCGAGGCTTGGACCTGGTGGCTCTGGCGCATGCTCTCTGGTGACTTTACATGCTCTATAGCAAATTTTAAAACGATGATGAATAAATTCTTTCCAAAAAAATTACAGAGCTAACACATTTCCAAGGAGGAGCCCTGAAGAAGCTGGAACATTCTCAGGGGCTTAGGATACCTCTCTCACCAGACACAGTTCCCTAAGCCCCCAGGCTGCCGGCTTTGCCAGCATCTCCTGGGTGTAGTGAAAAGATCTTAAGGGAGGATGTTGAGACATCCCACCCAGGTGGTTTGCCAGTAGGGCAGGTCGGTTCTGTGAGGATGTATTGGGCATTTCCTCCGTGTGCAGCCCTGATGAGGAGGTCCCAGCCGAATAGACAGTTGGTGCCTCTGGAGAGGCATTCAGGGACTCTGGGGGACTGTGACGTCGTCATGGCAAGATGACAGGTACTCAGCACTGTGTGCCGGGTGCCTGGAAAGTAGAGGAGGTGGCTCCTCGAGAGGAAGTGCTGGTGACTGGGTGAGAACAAATGCCGGGAGGTGAGAGAGCTCTTGGACAGGTTGGGGGCCCGGACTGGCTTCCCCTGTAGACTGAAGTCTTGGCAAGGCCCGAGGCCATCGCTTTGTGGCTTTGGGAGTGGGTTGGAGGTGGCTTTCTGGAACCCTGTGGCTGAAGGTGTCTGCATCGAAAGCTTCCACCCTGAAATGCTGATTCGTTTTGACCTTGTAGACAAGGATAGCATTAGTGAGGGAGGATGTGTCGATCTGTGTGTTTAAACAAGACGGGTCTGCTTGAAGGTGGTCCTTGCAGCCAGGAATGGAGGAAGCATCTCGCACGTGTCTGTGCACGCATGCTGGGCATGGCAAGGTTCTTCCATGGAAGCACGTTAACACGTTATTTTAGAAATTTGAACTGGGGGAATGGAGGAATCTCCAACTCTTAGAAGTCTCGTGAGAACAGTGGTTCACAGAGGTCGGTCCAGGGCCACTCCTGGTCCAGGGTCAAGTTCTTACTGGTCTCAGATGAAATCATGAAAATAAAACCCACAAACTTTAAAAAAAAAAAAGAAATGTATTTCATTTCAAGGGCTGTCTTTATTCTGAGTTTTTTTCCTTTTTGTGTTGGTATTGAAATGGCTGTTGTTGGAGGAGATGGTAGTCATAGTATTCAATGGTACTCTGAGATGTCCCCGTGCCCTGTGTAGCAGTGCTGCGTCTGCACACCGCTCCAGCAGTTGCTATTATTAAATGACCCCGCCATCAATCAAGAACGCCTGGGCAAGTGCTTTTGTGTTGGGCAGCACCACCTATTGGCAAAATATGACATTGCATCCTCAAGCTAAATTTCAGACAGTGGAAGGGAGGGATGAGATGCAAGTCATTGCCTAGTAAATCTATTAAGCTCAAATGCTGCTGACCTAGGCCTGTTGGGTGCTTAAAGGGACTCAGCCCAGGAAAGCTTGGAGAGAAGAAAACAGATTCACCCAACATCTGGCACTAAATAGGCACCAGCTAGGGTCTAATGTCCAGAAAAGAGATTGGGTTGGGGGCTCTGAAGGAGGCCATGCCTAACCCTAGGGAAGGAGTCATCAGCTACAAGGCCTCCTGGAGGCTGCTGAGGGCCAAGGGAGCGCACAGCCATTTCCCCAGTGCAAATCCTCCATGACACAAGCTCCACTGGGAACCCTTAGCACCCACTGTATTTTTGTAATGATTATCATACACACTCATTGTTGAATCAGAACATTTAGAAAAGCACAATGACAAAATTACTCAGCCACTGAAATTTGTGTATATATATATTTAATTATTTTATTTATTCGTTCATTTTAATTTGACCAGAGAGAGACACAGAGAGAGAGCGAAAGTGAGAAAGCAAGCCATCAGTCCAGGACTTGAGCCATGGTTGACCATGTGGGAGTGTCTAGCACCTTAACCACTATGCCACCTGTTGGTCCTGTATGTATTTTTTTCTGTGTATATGTATGTATATATGCTATGGTCATAAAAATGATGTCATCTGGCATGCACTGTTTTTTTTTATTTTTATTTTTATTTTTTTTTTTGAGAGATTTTCACTGTAGGGCGTGTGCGCTCGCCAGACAGACAGAGAGAGACATAGAGACAGAAAGCGAGAAATCACCCCCCAGGGGGGATGGTCACGCCGCAATCCCTTCTCCTCCATTCTCCTCTCGGGATCTTGGGCATGCACGCACACGCGCCCGGCGTGAGTTTTAAGCCACCGGGTCCGGGACATGAACCGCGGTCGACTACGTGGGAGTCCAGCGACATAGCCATTACGCTAAATGCTGGTTCCTGGCATGCACTGTTTTGTAACTTGCTGCTTTTAAAAATATTTTATGCTGGGACCAGCGGTTTGTGTAATGGCTATGTTGCTGGACTCCCATGTAGTCAACCATGGTTTGAGTCCCGGACCCGGTGGCTTAAACTCACACTGGGTACGTGTGCGTGCGTGCCCAAGATCCCGAGAGGATAATGGAGGAGAAGGGATTACGGCATGGCCATCCCCCCTGGGGGATGATTTCTCGCTTTCTGTCTCTCTGTCTCTCTCTCTCTCTCTGGCAAGCGCATGCGTCCTATGGCAAAAAAAAAAACTCTCTAAAAAAAAAATAATGCCAGAAGTTTTTTTTCTTTAAATTTATCTCTTCAAATACTTTCTTAAAAAGTTTGCTAGAAGGTACATGCATTCACTTACGAGCGAAAGCACGCACAAGAAAGCACCCCTCTTGGGACCAGCAGTTGGTGTAATGGCTATGTTGCTGGATTCCCATGTAGTCGACCGCAGTTTGTGTCCTGGACCTGGTGGTTTAAACTCACGCCAGGCACGTGTGTGTGTGTGCGCCCGGGATCCCGAGAGAATGGAGGAGAAGGGATTGTGGCGTGGCCATCCCTCCTGGGGGGGGATTTCTCGCTTTCTATCTCTGTCTCTTTCTGGCGCGCGCATGCGCCCTATCGCAAAAACCTCTCACCAAAAAAAAGAAAAAAAAGAAAGCTCCCCCCCATGGGGGATGGCAATGCCACAGTCCCTTCTCCATTCTTGGGATTTGGGACATGTACACACACACATATCTGGAATGTTTCTCAGGCTGCCAAGTCCAGAACACAAAACACACAGTTGGTCAGGTGGGATCCACTCTCCTCAACATGCCACAGGCTGGCTCAGGAGATGCTAGTCTTAGATATTTGTGAGTGAAGTGATCTGTGGAGAATCATCTGGATGGTTGGAGGAAACTGGCCATACACTGAAAGTCGTTGAGGGTGGAGATGGGATACAGGGCTACTGTATTGCTCTACTTACTAACTTTTAACAGAAGGGCCTGCAGGAGGCATGGTGGTTAAGATAACTGGATCCCACATGGCCGACTGCGTGGTTCAAGTCTTGGACCCAGCAGCTTGAAAAAATGAATCATGAATGCATGAGTGCGCACGCCCAAAATCCTGAAAGGGGAATGGAGGAGAAGGGATTGTGGTGTGGCCATCCTCCCAGGGAGTGCCTTCTCTCCCCTCTCCACTGACGAACCCCCAGCAAGTGCTTGCACTCTATAGCAAAAAAAACTAAAAATAAAAAGTTAAACAAAAACATGGAGACCTGCTGTCTTCTCTGAAGTTCCTTTGGCAGTTGCTATTATGTTTCTATAGCCGCTACCAGAATGACCTCCAGGGGTACATGGTTTCCCACTTGAAGGTTCAGATCTGGATAAGGTGGACAGAATCCTCTTCTCTTGCTGGCTTTCATGAAGTTAAGTCAGGTGGAGTTTACAAACCACAGAATCAGATTCTGAGGCAGACATGGAAATACCGCCATGCTGTCATCATCAGCCTTGTCACAGGCCCTAGCCCCTAAGGCTTCTCCATCGAAAGCAGGCAGCAGGCCAGCAGCGCTTGGGAGCTGGTCAGAAATGTAGACCCCAGACCCCTTCCAGGACCTGTCAGACTGC